CATTCTGATTATTTTAAGCTGAGGGCCCCAAGTTTATCAGTAACTTAAGTTACTGTCACGGGTCACCCTCATTAAATAAAGTCTTTCACTTCACTTCATGTTAACTACTCCGGATGGCAAAAGTTTTATTGCTTACACACACACTGACAATGAATGAAATCTCGAGCTAAACCTACAAGTTTTTATGCTTATGTAAATAATAGAAAGTTCCAGAAGCGTCTCTGCATGTATTTGGGCTTGCGGGACGATGCATGCTAATTATCAAACACTCTACATTATGACTATGCCTGAAAGGTGACAGAATGAATCGAACTACACAAGCTGATTACGTAACAGTAAACGCTGTGGTCACGTTGACCTATCGCTAGCAGGCCAGATCGATTGACCGAAATTTCTTTTTCATAAAGCTAAAGCTACACATTTTTGGACTATGATGACGACTGTGAATGAAGTCAACAAAGATAAAGCAAAGGTACCGGATGAATTTATTTTTCGTAGTGCTTCTCTTGTTTGTTTTACTGCCAAACTCGATGAGTAAATCGATTCACAATCGATGTACATGTAAGCTCATTGCTGCATACGTGTATGCAAACGAACAATTACATCTGTGTTTTTATGTTTTTGTCTGTTATTCTGTAGTCCTCTTTGTCTGTTGAAATTATACTAAAACAATTATTCGCCTCACGCTCAGTGAACATTACAAATGGTGAATATTCACCGAAAAGAAGTCGAGGTGAATATTGGCCAATGTTCACTTCGCCTCCGGCGATACATTTTTAAATATAAGGAATCGCTCAACCAATTAGATTGCTGAAGACTCTTTGTTCAGCTCTGAAATTACAGTAAAAATTGGGATATTCCGGACTGATAAGCGCTCGTCCTCTCCCGCAAGCCCCACCAAAATACGGCTATCATATACCAAGTGTTTACCGGGGAATTGTAATATGCCGCATTCCCCAAGAGTGTGGGCTCATATGATTAGAAACCTACGCGGAAGGTAATCCTGCTACGTGGTTGAATGTATTCGCCACTTCTGTAGTAAAACTCATGGTATTCAACATGTCGTCGACGGTTTTCCTTCTCTCGTGGGCGGCCACAATTGCGACAATTGGTCTTTTCCTTTCTGGCATGTAAGTAGACGTCTTACAGTAATAAATACATGCTAGTTGTGAATAATTAGCTTGCCTTTCACATTCAGAAGTGTCTGTTCCATGCAAGATTGACATGCTGTGAGAGACTATACACACATTTGCAATAAGCGTCTATCAGTCTCTTTACTATCCATGCTTTTATCAAGGTAAATATGTTGGAAAATCTATCAAGAGACCAACGGAGAGTTGCAAGCGACGCCTTTTAGAAATATTCAGTAAGCCTGCATTTTTCTTGAGCTATAATACGGTTTGAAAATGGAATATGAATCCATCCAATTAGATACTGGTATTACGCAGTAGACAAGCTCAAACGGCATGAAAGCGCAAAAACTGTATACATGTACGAGTGACATGAATTTTTAGTTTCTATATATATTCTAATTTAATAATGGTTCTGTCACACAGACCCTATTCATAAATGGCTGCCAATTAAAAATTCTTTTGGAAGTATTAAAATTAGCCCAACTAACCTCGTTTTTGAGTTGATAATTCAAAAGAATTTTTACTTTCAAACAAGGTTAGTTGGGATAATTCAAATACATACAAGAGCATTTTAAATTGGCAGCTATTTATGAATAGGGTCTATTCCTCCAGGCATATGGCACTCATTTGACAACTTTTCCTGCTCCAGGGTAGGGCATTTGTTAAATAACAGGTCTGCCTGGGGGGCGGGTGGGTATGGATATTTTCTCAAACCACACAATTGGGTCTTGTAACAGAGAGATAATTTCAACTACATGTACAAGTATTAAAAAAATCAGAATTTGACATACCTGTACGTTTTAAAAATACTGTAGTGATAGTCAGGCATGATAAAAATATTAAAATGTTTGCTGTCACTGACTAAAAACGGGTTGATTTGGATGTTTCGGTAAAATACTGTAACCTTCAGCATAAGAAATTATGCATTAAAAATGGCATCAAGGTGAAAATGAGGCCTTTTAAAATGCACATGTTATAAAGGGTATTATACACTTGTTTTCCTCGATCTTGATTCTTATAAGAAACTTACGAGTCTCTCTAGCTACTAAAATTCATAATAATTACATTAGAAGTGTCAAATATTGTGAAAATCATCACTCTTTCTGCATTTTTTATTTGTCATCTATTGCATTAGCCCCAGGCTTTGTTTAACATTTGCATTTTTCAGCTTTATCACTGGTTCCTATGGGTAATATGAGTTCTACGGTCACAAGCTTAGGGTGTCATAAAGTTTTCCAGTAGGCTGCTTTATTTGTTGTAAGACCATAAACTGCCTATAAGTCAGCACCCACCACTTATTAACCCTCCCAGTTATACATGTAGGCCAATCTACCTGTAAACCAAAAACTACATCCGGTTATAAGCCACCCCCCCCCCCCCCCCCCCCCCTCCCCACACACACACACCCCCTCCACTTAGATGGCCGGATACCACCCCAACTCTAGCATGGTTGTTCAGTTATTTTATTAGGATGTTTTAAAGTTTAATTAAAAAAGCCTTTTTTGATCAATACAGCTATAGTTCATTTCAAAACAATTTTTTTATTCTGGTTATAAGCCTTCTTGTATGTAAGCCCCTCCATTTATATGCCCATCTAAAAGTCCTTGTGAAGTTGTGTAAGCTCAGAGCTTATAAGTGTCAGTTAACATGACATGTCTGATTTGGCCATCTTCTTTAAAGAAAATTAAATGTTGGACAAATAACTCAGCAGAGTAGCCTGCTGAGATCATAGAGTAGATAGTGATTTTTTCCAGTAGCTGGCTACCTTTGACAATCATGCAGTCAACATATGCAGTCAACCTCATTCCTAGGATCCCAGGGGATGCCGCAAGGGACAAGAAAAAGATAGACCCTGGGAATGAGGTTGCATATGCAGTTTGCTTTTCATTAATGTTACATGTACAAGTAGTTAAGTACATGTTGAATTCCTCATTCTGGCAAGTCCCTATTTAAATCTTTTCAAGGAGGCACAGAGCTGAGAATTAACAAGATGGTGATATTTTCTTGCTTAGAATCAGTTGTAAAATGATGGTCAGGAGTGGAAGCACTGAAAATGTCCCTCTCTTGCCTTTTGTCACCACTTTTCTCAAGTAAGTTGCTTTAAAGTACTTTGTGGTTCTGTGGGGACTCAGTGGTCTACAGGGAAAAGCTTGGTTTATACCAGACAATGAAATATAAATATAGTCAAACCTTCCGTAAGCGACCACCTAAAATGTCAAGCCTCAGTGGCTGCTTACAGGAGTTGGTTGCTTAAGAGAGCTTAGATCATATTTGGTCAAAATTTTGCCTTATCAGCATATGGTAACTGCAAATTATTTTGAGAAAAAATGTGGTACTTCCCATAGAGAAATTTCCATCTCTTGTACTATCCAGGAATGCAATAATGTTACAACACCTTATTATCCAAGTGGTCCCTTACAAGAGGTTAAAAACTACAATAGAAAATTTCAAACTTTTAGCTCTTAAAGTGGTTGGGGTCGCTTACAAGAGGTTCCAAATATAGTGATTTGACTTGGAAACTTCTGATATTTAGACAAATTTGTTGCTGAGGAGAGGTGATCGCTTACGAGAGGTGGTCGCAACTGGAGGTTTGACTGTGTACGTACAGAGTACCATAAAAAAAAAACAAACATTTTGAAAGGTGTCAACACCTGTGATTACTGACACTTATCCTTTCAAACCTCCTTGGTGGAATCACCTGAAGTTCACAGTTGTTTGTAGAGAATACAATACTCTAACAGCTCTTGTTTGGTGAGGTGTTTGTAGTTTAATGAAATATAATGTTTATTTTTGTCTTTCAGTTGCATGATGTGGGCCAGTTATGGTATCCTTAAAGATGATGCAACTATAGTCCCAGTCAATTTAACGGGAATGTTATTACAAGTTCTTTACATTCTATGTTTCTTCTTTTATTGTAAACATAAGGTATCTGCATTCATTTAGTAACATCTGGTAAACAATGAGCACTTAATGACTGGCCCCAAGGGAACAGTGAGTTTTGTTTCCCCAAGACCCCAATGTCTGCAGAGGCATAGCCAAGGGGAACATAGAGGGTCAAGGGAAAGAAAACTCACTGTTTCCTGTGGGGCCAGTCATCAAGTGTTTTGTCATACCTGTACCTCCCAACTCAAAAATAGAAAAAACTGCGAAAACAAAATTTTTTTGACGCTGGCTGCCACACAAATTTGCCATGGTTTCAAGGTGCATGACCTGATCACATGCGAGTTGAAAGTTCAAGTTCTTGTTTCCCTAGGGAGTTAATGAGTTTTGTTTGCCGTAGGAAGTTACCAAGTTTTGACCCATGACATGTGACACGGTCTCCTCCAGTTGGAAAAAATTTGAGTTGGGAGGTATCACTGACAACACAACATACACTTGATTATTGAGATAGCTAAATAGGAAACAAGCATCAGAGTCATGTGACTCTTATGTTTGAGTCATGTGGCTCTTCTTCTTGTTCTTCTTTTTTGTACCACAAGCTCTATATTCTTTAGTATGCTGGTGCTACAGCTCAATGATGTCATATGATTGTAGATTCAGTTAATATTGGAGTAGTCTGGGTGGTTGTACAATTAATCTTCCGTTACATTCTTTAATTTAATGTTTTATTTTGTCTTTAAAGGGTAATGAAGTTAAAAGTGTACTGTATGGAGCAATTGTATCAGTGGCTCTGTATCTTTACTTAATGCATTATGTAACAGATGAAGATCAGAGGCTTGCAAACCTTGGATTTGCATGTGTATTCTTCACTGTTGTAATGCAAGCTTCACCATTGGCAGCAGTGGTACGTACATTGGTTCTTTAGAACACTATTGTACTGTGGTACAGTATGGCACAGTCATAGAAGGGCGTCTAAGACAAAGGAAGAGCACAAAATTCCTGTGCCATACAGTAAAAACCCGTGTATAAAAGTCTGCATGCGAGCCAAGTGGCCCATCAGGCCGGAGCTTATCCCGGTTTCTGTAGCATGAAGC